GCAAAAACAAAGCCTCCTCCCAGCCCTGAGCAGTGAAATCCCCAACCTCCTTCTTGGATGTCTGGGTATAAGTGCCCAGGACCCAGGAATGTGGCTGTGCCTGTGGAAAGATTGTGCTCCTGTGGCTCCAGGGCATGAGAGATGCTCTGAAAGACGATCTCATGTAGAAAACAAAACACTGACCTGTTTCACAGGGGCTTTCAATTCAATCAAACAAGGCCTTGCTAATACAGGGGCCAACTCAGCTTCTCCTGAGGAATGAGCAAACCTTTCAGCTTCCTGCTCCTCCTGCCCTCACTGCTGCTGAGGAGGTTTTTGCAAAGATTTCAGAAGTCATTTGGGCTGATTCACATTTGACTTTGAGATGCCTGGGAGATGCTGACTGTTTGGAAAGGGCTGATATTTGTCCCATAGAGACCTCTATCCTTTAGCACCAAGGAGTTCGAATCACCAGTGATGTCTGAAGCACAGTTTAGCACCAGCATCAAGGTTTGAAACAATCCTCTCTGGCAAAGACTGCCAGCACCTGACCTATGAAGTAACCTGGTTAGCTAAGCTCAGTCAAAAGCTGATGTTTCTTCCAGAAAACAAAACAAACCATGTGCCTCAGTTTCCCTTTTCATAATACACAGGTGATCACACTGCAGAACAGCCATGACCAGGGCAATGGAAGTCCCAAATAATGTCTCTCTGCTGCTTAGTGTTAAAATAAGACTCTGATGTTTCTGTTCAATAATGACTGGATGTAGTTGGTTAGTAACTGATCTTTTATGTTTTCTGGGTGCAATGACTGGGAAGGTGTTTATTGAACCTGTCCTGGAGTTACAGTCATAAGGGGAAGAGCTTACATTTCTCCAGGCATTTCACAAGTATGTTTAGATAAAAAGAGAGTCGAAGCCATCCTTTCACTTAAGAAACCTCTTTATGGTGCCATAAAGCTGAGCAGGACCTGTACTTGGTGCTGGTAGGCAGAGCCCTGTTAACTGGAGGGATCCTGATTCACCCCTGCCCAAGAGCCCAGCGGTTGGCTGAGTTGTCACTGTATTTAGAACCCACTCGGACACTTCAGGCTTTATGCTTTCTAAAATAGAGCAATAAAGCAATTAGAAATAGATAACAGAAGGAGAGAGCACTTCACCACAGAAAGCAAAAGAATATAGCGTGGCATAATTAATACAGAGCTGGCAGCAGCGAAAATGAGCTGTGAGAACCACACTGGCCCCGGGAGGTGGCTGCAGGCTGAGCTCCAGATGTCCAGTGTTCAAATGGCCGAGAAGTTCCTTGTGCCACCCAGCACAGTCTGACCCTAGAATGCCCTAGAATGCCCAACTTTGGGACAGAGGGAGATAAAAGCACCCTTCAGAGCTGGCAGAACATACATGTTCTTGCCAGTCCTTCATTGTGTGTCAGCCAGAGAATTTACCTTACTGAAATCATTCTCCCACATCAAAAAAAAAGACAGGGAGTTAGTGTAAATAAAAAGGCAGGTGCTTTTTTAGGGAAAAATCCAAGAATGTCCTAAGTGAAGGACTGGGTTAAAAATAACAGGGAGTCTGCTGTGCCAGGGGACGAATGAGTGGGGTTAGAGACAGGAGAGGTTGCACAGGGAAGGAGCTATCTCCTTCTTGAGTGTTATTCATTTAATTTGTCTTGTTACAGTGTCTGGAAGCACCAGGTGGAAATCAGGGCCTCACTGTGCTGGGAATTGGGCGCAAACATAATGATTAAATATTGCCAGCTCTGCAGAGGTTGAAATATAATTCCTCATCCCTGCAGCATCACTAACCAGCATAATTATTGCCAAATAAGATTTTCTACAATTACTCTTCTGGAATATCTGTGCTACGTGATTTCTTTCAAAATAACCATGCCTGAGGGAAGTGAAAAGATATATTTGTACAAGGTCCAACCTGGTAACCTTCACAGATAACAATAACTGGTCAAAGGCAGAAAATTCTCGCTGCATTTAAATCCATGTTCAGAAATTATTTGCTTGTATCTTAGTTTTCCTTTCTATAAAGCCACCGTAGTCACAATGCACTCAGAGCTCGCTCTCATCATCTAACACCCATGATCAGTGTAAGAGTCCTTAAAGCACTGACACCATCACATACAAGGGCTTGTTAGTGCTGATTGTAAAGATTAGGGATTAGCTGGAGAATAGATATTCTTTCTTGCGTGTTTTCTGGGGCAGCGTTTGAATTACTGAAGGGTCCTTTTCTATTAGCATTTTTCTATTAGTTATTAACTGTGTAAAAACCAAAATGCAATGAAATAAGGAATTAAAAAACCCCCCCACAAACAACCCAATCCTCAGCTGGCCACAGCATAAACAGGAAGTAGCACAGCAACCTGTCAGTGAGGGGGTCTTCACACAATGACCAAATCCCTTTGGGATTCTGTGATACTTTGCTTTGCTGCCCAGAGGTCAGAGAGCAGCAGGATATACTGCCTGCATCTTTACTACTTCGAATACAGTTATTTTCTGGATTCAACACAAGGAAATTCTTCTGCCCAAGCACAGTAAATTCTCCCCTGACCCTCAGAGCAAGTTCAGGCCAAACCAAGAGGACTGGAGCACAGTCCTGCCAGTCACCCACACCTCCCCCGGGGACTTGCGCTGAAAGCAGCTCAGTAGCAACACCAGGACACTGCCGGGTGTCTTACCCTGCCAGCATTTCCATTTGTGAGTCTTCAGCTCTACAGATTTTAACTGTTGTGTCCTGTCCCTCATTCAGTAATTTGGCCTCAATTTTGGCAAACTGGAAGGCACTGGGAGAAGGACTGGGAGCTGCAATGCTGAAATAGAGCATCTACGCCACAGAGCTGAGCAGACCAGCCCTTCTTCCTTGCTTTCCCACCCCTTAGCACCAGCTCCAGCACCTCTGGCAAAAAGAACGACCTAAACAATTGTTGTGGGTTTTCCCTGCCTTTTCATACTTCATACAGCAGAGGGGACCAGTGTATGTTAAAACTGGACACTTCTTAGTTTCCTCCAGACAGCCATCGCTCTGTTTGGTCCCACTCGGGAACCAGAGCACCTGAGGGCGCTGGCTTAGAGGAGGACCTTGTTTGGATGAAAGATAAAAAAAAATCACAATATCTCACTCATTCTGCTGGTGAATGAAAAGCAAACAAAAGGATTCCCAAAGATTGCATTTTAAAAAGCAAGTATGGAAATGCAAATAACCCCTGACATGATTTTTAAAGCAGTGTTGGGACTTTTAGGGATCCCAGCTCAGAAGTTTTGGATAGCAACTACATGGGATCATGTACAAGTAGCGCTTTTTCTGATTTCCTATTCTGCCTTTTAATTCTTCCTAGGGAAGAACGGGCGCTTTGCATTCCAAGCAGCTTGAAAGATTAAGCAGGCAGAAACAGCCCCTTGCTCTACCTGCAGCCTCGCGCTGGTTATTTTAAGTTTTGACCGGAGATTGACCCAGTTTAAGTGGGTGTGAAAGGTTACCTGAACACTCGCTTCGCTGTCTCTGGCAACAGGATTTCCCGCAGGCGTATCTGTGTGACACGGTCTCGCAGTCCCCTCTGCTGGTGGCAGCTTGCTGGGGAGCTGCACCAGCCGGGACCGTGCAGTGCCTCCACGAGCGCTGCAGGAGAGCCCCCGTGGATTGGGGAAACCCCCAGCCCCACGCCCCCAGTGCCCGCTGAACGGGCACCAGCTCCTCCAGAGAGTACAGGGCTTTCCCTTACTCTTTCTGCATCTTAAGTATAAGCACCTGGCACCTCTTACACAAGACAGCAGCACGAGAAAGGGTGAAAAACTTGACCATGGATAACCTTACAGAAACCCACCCTGCACGGGAAAGCTGAGGCATTCTGCTGACATCAAATGATCTCCCTGTGGGGAATGTATGGCTTGAACTGCTTGTTGAACTTATGACCAAATATCAGCTGCATCTGCCTGTGGCGTGTTCCTGTGTCCCCACGATCCCGCCGTGATGCGTCCATTCCGCAGGCTCTGGCTCATGCTCCCCACTGCTCTCAGCAGCATTGCAGGCCCAGGCACACCAACCCCTGCAGCCTCTTCACTGACTCTCACAGTGCAGTTGGGATCCACTTTGGAAGTGACCAAGGCAATATTTCCCTCGGGAGGTACAAAATGATGTTCGGAGAGGGACTGTGCTGGTGGATCCTGGAGAACTGAGCAGAGCTGGCAGCGCAGGGCAGGGGCTGCTCGCAGGGATGTGGGCTCTGAGCACAGTCCATGATGTCCAGCTGCACATGCTGAGTAGTGCAAATCTTCCAGCAGAGAGGAAAACTTTTGTTCCTGGGTGCAAAGAACTGGTTTGTGAGGCTACTCCCGAGAAGGTCAGTTCTGACAGGCTAACACTGACCAGCAAGGGCAGCTGAGGCAGAGCTGGCGCAGGGCAGCAGATCTTGATGTCTGGCAGTGAGCCAGCACTCCCCCCAAGCCAGGCTGTCTGAGGAGGAAACCAAAGTGACAACACTGATAACAGCCCCTGCTCGTGGCCAGAGGCCCAGGGGCCCTGCACAGGAAGGCAGGGGCTGGAGGAACCAGCACTGAGCCCCACACTCAAGCCCAATTTATGGGATTGCCTTGCATGCACAACCCCCCCAGTGATGAAAAGCACTGCAAACCCCAGACCCTGGGGCAAGCAAGGGATGTAGTAGAAAAACTAAAGGTTTATTTTTTTTTTTAACAAAATACATCCTTACAAAATAACCGTTTTTCTCCTATGCTGAGGGGCTGGACATGGTTCCCGCCAGCTCTCCTTCCCTCTCCTTCTCCTCAATTTGAAGCTGTCCAAGGGTGCCACGGGGAAGGGAGAGGCAGCAGTGGTCTCCCCAGGGGCTTCAGGTGCAGGGTGCCCTGGCATGGTTTTGGAACACCAGGCAGGATGCTGTGGGAGCCCTTCAGAAGGGTCTGCAGTGGCAGCAGACCCCAGTGCCCTGCAGCAGGGCTGGCAGAGGGCCCCAAGGGTCCCTTAGTAGCCCACCCACAGCATGCCTGTGCCCCTCAAAGGCCGGGTACCGGGCCGACCGGCCCCTGCCCGGGCTGCAGGGCACCACCTTCCCATGAGCTGGTGTTGGACGCTGCTCCTGCTGGCCTTGGGGCTGGCACAGGCTGGTGACAGGGGATGGCGACCGTGTTTTAGGAGAGGAGGAGGAGGAAGAGGGTGCAGGTTTGTTGGTCAGTGTGGATTCTGCAAAGAGAGAAAGGTGCACAGTGATTTCTGGTGTCTTGCCCCCCATTACCCCTCTTTGAGCAATGCTGCCACTGAAGAAGTGATGTCAATCCCACACCCCACACCCAGTGCTGCCCCCAGAATTGCTCATGCTGGGAAATGTTGACTCCAGGTTAGACATCGTTGTCCTCAGCTCAGATCTCCTCCATGCCTTCCCTGTAGCCCTCCTGCCTTCCCTGAAACCCTCCTGCCTTTCTGGGGGCCTTGGCATAGCCCTGAGACCAAAGCCCTCCATCCATAGGCCAGCCATAGGCCAGTGGGGCTGGGGAAAAACCACTCACCTCTCACTGCGTGTTGTCCAGCTCCTTTTCCTTCTTATGTGACTTTGACTGGGGATTAAATGAGAGAAAACAGGATTCTTTTACAGACCTGCTCCTTTCTAATGCCAGGGAAAAATGTGGTTGGGCAGCAACTTCTAAACCCCAATGTATAAGCATATTTTCAGATGAATTTGAGGGGAGCTGTTTCTGTGTCCTATGAAAGACCATAAAACATTCCATGGTCATGGAGATGTTCCCAGAGAGCGGAGAAGGGGACATTTTCCAGTTTGCTGAAGCACGGGTCTGCCCTTGCTTTCCCTTAAAGCAATGCAAGGGTTACCAGATATCAGAATATCTGAGGTTAAAGGGAGAGAATAAAGCTATTAACAGTGAGTCACACAAGATCTCAGTAATTTTGGAGAGGAGATTCATGGATCCCCGTCTCCGACAGTCCCAAGGGCTCGGGAAGGCGCCTGGTTGCTCCTCAGCATGGATGTTTGTGTTACAGCATCATTACTCATGCACGCAGCCACACTCACACCCCTACAAGAGCCTTGGCAGGGCAGGGACTCGCTGTTACTTACAGGCTCCTGTTCTGCGTATTTGAATTTCTTCTGCTTGTAATAGTCCCGTCCTTGGAGGAAATGCAGCAGGAGCAGGTCACAGAGGACAGAGGCCTTAAATCAAAGCACAGTTAGGGTTGGAGCCGCCCTCCAAGCTCACCTGGACCATTGTGTGCTTCCAGTTCGTCCCACAGTTTAGGGTCACTTCTGCTTCCACCCACAATGTGGCAGTTGCTAAAGAGTGTACGGCCCCCAACTGTCCTTTAGGACAGAAGTGAAGTGTGTTGGGTTCAACACTGGGTGACTTCAGTCAACAGAAATGAAGTGTTTCCACTTTGGGTATGATGCCGAGTGTGTTGTACTCTGCACTTACCCAATCTGTAACAACCATAACCAAATAGGATGCTGGTTTTCCATCCTGCATGAAATCCTGCCCATCACCTCCAAAACTCCCTCAATGCCAGTTCTAACTTGAAACTATCAGGATACCAAGGCATGGCCCTGTCAGGAGAGCCAGCCTTCCCCTCACTGGCCAGCAGGAATCTATTTTCCTGAGCTAGTGAGGCAGGAGAGCACCTCCTTTCCCACTTTGCCCATCCTCTGGTTCCCTGAGCAGGAGCCAGTATTTCACTGCAGCTCAGGGACACTTCCCACGGATGTCACAGGCAAGAAGAATAATTTGAGAGTCTCCATATAGAGGCTGGAAATATCTGAACTTACCACTCCAAAAATACCAATTCCAGAGCCAATTGTGGTCATGGTTGGGATGATGTCAAATTTGCCTGCCTGAATAAAGTCAAAGAAAATAGGTGATTAGTTACAGTCAGCCTGGGGGGGAAAAAAGGTGCTGTAGCTGTAGGTGGGGCTTGGCAAAAGCACCTTCCAGCAGCCCAAACTACAACCACAGCACAGAGAGAAACAGGAGCTGGGCCAGAGCTGGTCAAACAAAAAAATATTTTTGGTTTTAGGCTGAAATAAAATTAAGTTACTTTGCTTCCTGTATTTTTAATTTTAAAAAAACAACAACAAAAAAACAAAAAAACAACAAAAAAGTATACCCTGTAAATATTCCCAGTGGGAACACAACGAGGAAAGCCTTCTCTTCCACTGGGAAGAAAGAGACAAAATAGAAAAATGCGAAGTGTCCAGCTTTTGGAAATATCAGTAAAAGGTTTTGACTTTCCACAGTTTTTCCCCCTGTCCAAAATCATGATGTTTTTTGGACAAAACCACTGACCAAACTGCAGCTGACAGACATGCCCTGTAAAATGGGCTTCTTCTCTTATATTCCCTTCCCCGGGACTTCCCAAGGGTTCCTGTGGGTGGGCCAGCACCCAAGAAAACCCCTCACACTGGTTTTCCTGGCCCCACAGGACCCCAGTGCTGCGTTGCAGACCTGGTACCTTCACAAGGACATGGCACTGCTCTCCTGGGGATCCAGGGCTGATCCTGGTGCCTGGCCACCCTTACCTTGCCATTCACCAAAATGTCGAACCGGATCCCAAACACCTTGTAGAGGGTCCTTTTTTCCATCCCATCTTCTTTGTAGTACTTGGCATATCTGTCCAAGTGGATGCTGAGTGTTAATGGCCTGCCAGGGTGCCTAACAGCCCCCTGCAACCCAACAGCATGGGGATCTTGGTGGGACAAAGATCTGGGAATGTGCTATCACAGCCATGGTCCTGACCTTCTCCTTAAACCCCCTGAAGGAGCTGGGCTGTTGGCACCTCTCCTCTCTGTGCCTCCCTTTCCCCACCTGCAAGTTGGGGTTCCAGCTCCTGCTCGTGCTGTTTGACCTGATGTCCCCAAGTGCTGCATGACAGCAGATATTGGTGCAGCACGAGTGATTGTCTCAGAGAGCAGAGGTTAGAGAGTGTTTTGAAGTGTGGGAACATGGGAGATGACCCTGCACCATCTCCAGACTTTCAGAGGGGCTTCCCAAGAGCTCAGCTGAGCAGGAGAGTCTGCAAGGGGGAGGAGATGTACAGAGAAAGGAAATGGGGTAATTTTGAGGCCAAGGGCTGTGCTATCACTTTTCTCATGCTGTTTTAAAAAGAGCACTGCTGTCTGGCACTGTAGAGGTAGAGAATATTTTGGAGAACAGTCTCTGACCCTCCACCATCCCTTGAGTGCTGTGGGAACCTGAGAGCTGTCACCTCTGAATTACGCTGGAGGATTAACAGGTGTGTCCTTACCTGAAGTTGAAGCCTGGTGAAACGTTACTGTCATCATTGTAAAGGCCGTGGAACTGGTAAATGGGTTTGCAGTACCGGACAGGCCAGTCGAGGTCGCAGTTCCAGTCTATGGTGATGCCCACCACTCCACCCTGCAGCAGAGAGGGGAGTCACGAGGTTGCCCCCTCTTGGGCCTGGCCCACACAGAAAAATGCTCTCCCTCCTCATACGTGTCCTGCCTCAGTGCTGTGGGGTGTCCTGGCTCTCCAGGTACACAGACCTCACCGCTGCCTCAGCCCTCCTGGACAGCCTCAGCTTTGTGCCCTTCGTGGAGGCTCTTGCTTCTGCCCTGGATGCTGGATACACAACCAGATTCAAGCCCTCTTGGGCACCCTATGCCCAAGGCATGCTCCTGAGAAACAGTGCTCACTGCAGATCCCTCACAGTCCTTATGGGAACAGCTTTCCCTTGCCTGATTCTACCCAGGGGATTGATCAGGAAATGAAGCAGTCAGTCATGAGCTCACTCCAGGTTGTAACTAGCTGAGTCCCAGAGGCTCATATTTCTGCACCTTTAGTATATAGAATTATAGAATGGTTTGTGTTGGAAGGGAAAGGTCCCACAGAGACCATCTGGTTCCAACCCCCTGCCATGGGCAGGGACACCTTCCACTATCCCAGGCTGCTCCAAGCCCCGTCCAATCTGGCCTTGGACACTTCCAGGGATGGGGCAGCCACAGGGATGGGGCAGCCACAGTTTCCCTGGGTGCATGTGTGTTCTAATATATGCAATATATGTTCGTATATGCAAGCCTCTGCTTTTATTCAATGCCTGGCAAGGTTATCATAAGGCTCTGCAGCCCAGGAATAGCAGATACTCTTGCACATCAGCCTGAGAAGTGCTGCAAAGCTGCATTTCAGAGCCTGGGAAGAGGCTGCAGTTTGCACTGTGCAATGACTGATATTTGACCATCCAGCTGGGATTTCCAAGCTCATTTGGATGGGATTCGGCCACACAGCTCCAGTTATTTATTGCACAAATTAAACCAAACTGAACCTTGGATTTACTGCCAGCAGGTCAAATCTTGTCAAGAGTTTCCAAGAAAGGCATAAATATTAGGCCACGTCCAAGGAGATTCATAATCTTTAACAGCTAATTCTGACACTTCTGTTTTCTCAAGAGTTCTTGAGATAACAGAAAATCATCTCAACAGCTGGGGATGATTGCTCTGCCAGTGTCCCCCTCCCCCCTTCAGCAAGGAACATCATTTGAAATTCAAGTACCTTAATAGCCAGGAAGGTAAAATTCTGACCCGATTCCTTCACTATATATCCCAGTTCAAACACAGGGCACAAGGAATCGGTGGCTTTGTTATAGGTGCATTTCTTCAGGTACTGTTTGGTAACACTCTCAACCAAGTTGCGCCTGTGAATGAAAAGAAAGTGAGAAGGAATCTGAATAATCCAATAATTTGGGTGGGAAAGCACCTCTGGAGGTCCTTGTCCAACCAATGGCCCTCTCCTGTTCCCATGCCAGCTTGTCCGTGGGCTCTGCCAGGTACTTGCTCCATGCACCAACAATTCTCATTTGGGACAGCTCACGGATAGCAGCTTTTACATTTAGCTGGAGTTTGTTATCTCCTCCATAAAGGGTGAAAAGAAAAGGAAAACCTCTTGCCTTCCACCCTGCTCTGCTCTTTCACTTAAAAATAGCCTTTCTCTGAACCTCCCAGCCCCAGATGATTTTGTAAGACTCGTGTCTTGCTCAACCGTGTCCCATCGTGGATGCTCAGCAGTTCGTTGCCAGCGGTGATCAAAGGCAGGAAGTTCCCCATGACCCAGCTGGGTCTGGTGCAGCCCCTGCCACAGCAGCCAGTCCAGTCACCCTCACTCTGAGGACCAGCTCCCCTCACTGTGTCCCCTCCAGCCTGCCCTTGCTCAGGCCACCCCTCCTTGCTGCTGGGGCAGGGGCTGTCCCCACTCCCAGCCACCTCTCTGGCAGCAGCATGAGCTCAGCCCAAGGCTTTTCCAAACATCCTGGCTACCAGGACATTTAAACCCTGGGACACGACCAGCTTAGAGAGAAGAATCTGCCACCTTCAGCACAAATAGCTTCTGATAATTTGTTCCAAATCATGTACAATCAGTGCCATCACAAATCCTCTTACAAGTGCTCCTTCAGCCAGCAGCACTGTTCCCAGTACTGCCTGGAAGGAGCCGACCCCACAACCCGTTGCAGAAACAGGTGGGAACTGTACTGTTAAGAGGAACTTCTGCTCCTTTTTGGCACCAAGCTTGTCCTGGCTGCTCACACCCCACTGTGCCACATAGTTATTTTAATGTTTTCTCAGGGAAGAAAAGGGAGGAGAAAAATGAAGAATCAGAGAAACTGTATTTTCATGTGCATCGTGTGAGGGTAACTCAGGAGATGTTAGTTCCAGAAATCTTCTTTCTGGTGAATACAGCCAGCAGCTGAGGTGGAACAGATTTGGGAGGGAAATGTCTCAGTTCCTATGAGCTAATCTGGGGATCAGTGCAGCAGTTAGAGTAGTCCTGGGCTCACTGCTGAGGGACACCATCAAGCATCCAGCCACACAGATGGTTTCCCCTAAGGGACACAGCTGGAGGAACTAAACAGAAACCATTCCCCCAAACCTCACCTTACCTGGACACCTTGAACCTGGGGAAGGTGATGCTGTTCTTGATGAACAAGGTGAACTTCTCTGCTTCTGACAACAGGGCAGGGCTGAAAAACACAAGTGTTGACATCACTTGGCTCTCCAGCCTGTAGGGAAAGCCTCATTTGGTGAAGATTCAGATTTAAACTGGGACAAGCAAGACCCAGAGAAATGGTGATCTCATCCCTTCCCTTTCTGGTCTTTCGTGACCCAGGCTGTCCTGGCCACATCTCACAGAGCCTGGTCTTGCTCTGCCCCACCACAAGTGCTGCTGCTGCAGCTGGGGTGGGAAAGAGGGCAACAACAGGATTCCTCACCTGGGAACATGCTCATCAACTTCAACAGGGCACCAGCCAAAGATCTCACAGGTCTTCACTGAGCTGTTGAAGGGCACACACTTGCCTGTCATGAGCCCTGTGTGGAAGAGAAACAGCTGCTCACACCCCTGGATGCTGGAAAATCCCAGCCTCACACTGGGATGGATGGGATCTGGTTGGGGCTTCAGCTCTGCCAGAGGTATCCAAGGCACTAAACGCTCAGGGCTTTGGTGCCCCCTTGTAAAAAGGGTAATTAATTGTGGCCTCTCAGCTCAGGGCAGTGGTTTCTCTTGCACTGCTGTGCAGGGGAGCAGCTGGGCCTTTTTCATGCTAAAACACATATCAGAAAATGCCGAGCAGATAGAGGACAGCAGTTTGGGGGAAGTGGTTTAGTCTTGATTAACCTTTTGCTGGCAGAGCTTTTTGCAGCTCAGGTGTCTTTCAGAAGAGGAAAGCAGGACCAGCCTAGGTGGGACATTCAGCCAGCATGTCAAAGGCTTTTCCCAGATCTCGTTAGCCCCCCCAACAGAGAGCCCAGCTGTGAGGTGCCCCTGCCAGACACCCCCCCCAGGCAGCTCTGCTCGGTGTGTCACCACAAGCCCCGGTGCCGGAGCCTCGGGCCATACCTTGTCCCTGCCGGCTGTATCTCCCTTTGAAGCAGTCGCTGTCCCGCGTGCAGAGCCCGGCGTCTGGCAGCTGTTTGGAGAAAGCAGCCACCTCTCAGCATCTCACCCTGCAGTTTTGGTCCCTCTGTCCCTGCTCCCTCACCAGGCAGCATCTCCCTTGAGGGCGTGCTGCTCAGCTGCAGCCAGAGCCTTGTCCATCCTTCCCAACCAAGGATGTTCAGATTAAACAGGAAAAAAGGGGGGGGATTTGTTTTTTCAACTTCAGGCACATGCTTTTATTTAAGTCTCAAGTCTGCTCTTCTTGATCATCTCAGAGGGAAGAAAACTTAAATGGGTGCTGCCTGGTTTTCAGCAGAATAAAAGCCTTCATATAGAACACAAAAGTCAGGAACAGTAATATGGGGCCAGGCTCAGGGTTTTACTAAACCTCCCAACATCAGAAAAAGCCCTTCCCCAGTGCCACCACCCTGAATTACAGAAGCTGAGCCCACTGAAGGAAGCTGGTGTGTTTACCTCTGGGCAGGTTCCTTGTTTCTGTCCAGGGGTGACAATGAAGTTGGTCATCACCACAAATGAGTTGTCCCCCTGTGGAGACACAGCCAACGAGCTCACAGCCAGCACAGCGTCTCCTCTGTGAGGAGCCTGTCCCTGGGGCAAGGTGTAGGGCACCCAACCCACCAGGACACATCCAGGCAGATGGCACCTTTCTCCCTAACTTTAGATCCTCCCCCCTCTCTGCTGCAGCTCAGGAAGCTGGTGGTGTCCCTGAGAACATGTAGTGCCACCAGCCCCGGGACAGTGGAGGACCCCCTTTGCTGCCTGAGATGCTGGTCTGGAGGAGTCTTGGTCTTTTCAGAGGCAGCCTCTAACGTACCCCATCCACCATGGTGGGTCCCAAGCACCAAATTCTCCCCAGGGGTGATATATGGGCAGAGGTTTGTGGCAGGAGTAACCTGCTTTCCACCACAGGGACACCATGTCATGGGTAGCCCCGCAGAAAGCCTACACTAAGGACCCACCTGCGCCCCAGCACATGGGGAAAAGCAGCCACTGGGACAGAAGCAAACCACCCACCATCCTCCTTACCTGGGGTGGGAAAACATAGTCCACCACATCCCAGATGTGAGGGCCCATGACACTCTCATTGGTCAGCGTCAGCCCTTTCAGCTTCACCGAGACCGAGCTGACAATGCTGTCCTGAGACTGGTAACCCTTCTCGTAGAGGAACACCCACCTGGAGAGGGAAGTGGTAGGGTAAGCACAGCCACCAGCACTCCTCCACAAAAACTCACTTCCCAGCACAATACTGGGGACTGGGGCTTTTTCTGCCAAGTCTCACCTGGGGGGGTAATTTGCCAAATTTGCTCCAGCTGGTTGAGGGATGTGTTGCTGAACTTTCCCACCCTTTGCCCGAGGCATGTGGTAGCTGCAGGCCCTGACTGAGATGATGTGCTTTGGGGACTGGGACACATTTTGTGGCTGAGAGTGTGAAGGCAGATGGAGCAGGATGGCCATTGGCAATTTGGGATTAAAGTCTCGTGAGTTTGCAGCTTGCTGGGCTCAGTGACCCACCCGAACCCTCCTGATCCACTGCAAAGGCACTCTCCAGAAGTCAGTGCCTCCAAGGCCAACACGGAGCTGAGCCTGGACACGGCTCATATCCAGGGCCACCATTCCCCACGCAGCAAAGGGAATGTGGAGCCGTGGCCCTGTGTGCAAGAGGGCTGCAGGAGCAGGGGTAGGGACACTGCTGTGGCCGGAACAGAGCTCTCTCTCCCTGCCTTTCCCAGCCCATCACTCAGCCATTAGGACGGGCTCCTGACACTATTTAACCTATGGCGTAAACAAGCTGCCGCTGGATTAACTCTGACTCTGGGACACTGTAAACATGGGCGAGCAACCATTTCGGGTAGTGCTCCCGGCGGCGCGGAGCATTCCCGGCACTAAAAAAGGAGCGATCTGGATTTTGTCCCCACCGCCGTGGGCATCAGTCCCGCTGGCCGTGGCAGAGGCAGCACGTGGCCCATTGGACCATCCGTGACACCAGCCTGGCATGTCAACCTGTCCTCTGGCACCTGGCTGATGGGCAGGGAGGAGAACGGGGGAACCCCAGGCACTGCCTGGAGGTTTTCCCTGTGGCTGCTGGACCTCACAGGGACCTCTTGGGGACAGAACTTTTTAGCTTGCAGCCCCATCAGCATCCCGGGACAGAGAGCAAAGGCATGGGGATGGGAGGAGAAATTCAGCACTGGTGCCACCCTAGCTGAGACCCTCAGCTCCAACCTCCTCCCCCGAGGCAGAAGACCATACTGGATTACACTGGTTACACTGGGCATCTTTCCCATGCCCTCGGGGCTGCAGGAGGTTGTGAGCTGGGTAGCACCATGGCACAGTGTTTCCCTACATCTGCCTCCTCCAGAGGCTACAGCGCAGCCTCTGCCGCTGTCACCACATCCATTCCTGGCAGAGGTGACTGCCCATGGCTGGGCACCCCACTGGGACACATGGCAGGGCAGGATGTGGCCCCCACCCTGCTGCCAAGCAGGTCATAGCAAACAAAACACGGTTTTCCCGTGAAGCTGTAAATGCTGCAGCAAGCCCTGCCCAGGTGGTAAATGTCCCCTGGTGTCACTTCCCAATGTGGCAGGATCACCAAACACTCTTCCCTTGCCAGCCCCATCCTGTGGCTCAGCCCAAGGCTCCTTGCATGCGAGGTTTCAGGAAATGAAACACAGAAAGCGCCTGGCATCGCCTGGCCAGCAGTGATACCACCTTATCTGTCATCAGAGGAAAGAAGAGCTGCTCCCCAGGGGTGACACAGGGTCTCTCAGGGGGGTTGGCCCCACATCTGTGCCCTGATGGCACTGCCCACGTTCTGTCCAGCACATCCATGCATTGACACGCATCCCACGCCTGCTGCCAAGAGGGGACCAAAGCCGGGAGAACAGTAAATAAATACGTATTTGGCTGTCAAACTGGCTTTCAAAGGAGAGAAAACCTCAGGCATTGTGGGTCAGTGTGGGCAAGGAGCTGGGGACAGAGCTGTGGGAAGGGAGCTGGGGACAGAGCTGTGGGCAGGGAGCTGGGGACAGTGCTGTGGGCAGGGAGCTGGGGGCAGTGCTATGGGCAGGGAGCTGGGGACAGTGCTATGTGCAGCAAGGGACTGGTGGAACTGTGGGCAGCTGCACTCACAGGCAACCCCTTGCTAGAGGTGCCCAACCCCACCAAACCAGGAAAAACTTGGGAATTACAGCAACTATACGCCAACCTCCTCCTCTCTGCCCCCGGCTGTCACCCCCAAGCTGGTTCTCTCTCTGTTCCCTCCAGTTTAGCTGGTTGCTTAAGCCACATTTCCTTAGGAAGTCCCGCTCTGAGCAACCATCTGTGCCTGTTCCCCAACCACCCTCAGCCACGTTTGCTGGAGCCTTGGGGCTTCACAGGTTGAGTCCTTAGGAGAGACAAAGCTGCTCCCACCAACACCAGCCTGGGCCAGTGCAAAACCCTTTGCAACAGAGCAATGAGCTGATGAGCAGCGTGGGAGCAATGTGGGAGTCCCACAGTGACCCCCTGGGAAGGTTTTCTCCCTTTCCAGGGAATCTGCTAAAAGCAAGGTTGGCCATCTCTTCTCCCTACAGCAACTTGCTTGCACTGAGCCCTGCGAGACACTGCCTTTCCTTTGTGCTACGTGAGACACATGTAGCACCTGCACCCCAAAAATACCCGGATTTTCCCCTTCGTGGCCGGACACCCCCTCTCCCTTTAAACCTCCTGCTATGGAGCCCTTCCCAATGAAAGGGTGCTGATCTCTCTCTAGGATTGAGCCCACAGCAGCCATGGGGCCACAGCAAAGACTTATCAACCATCACATCCCACACCATGCTGCATCATCCCACACTGAGGGGACAAGGACTGAATCCCTGTGTCTGGAGCAGCAACCTCAGGGCACCTGAGGATACACATCCTCATCCAGCTCTGATCCCGCCCGCTCCACTCGCTGCCTTTTTTAACCAGTTGCCCTTGCACTGCTGCTGCTCTTGGAGCTGCCTCCCAGAAGCAAAGCAGACCAGGAATTTGGAGCCAGGCTCCGTCTCGGCCCCAGCGTCAGGGCGGTGGACAGGGAGATTTATGGCCCTGCCTCGAGCCGCTTGGGTCTCACAAATCACCGCGCTGGCCCCAGATGCCTCTTATTTAATATAAATGAAAATAAAAATAACAACAGATTCTCAGGCCACCGTCCAGCAGCTCGAGCAGGATTTGGACGGGGCTCAGTGAGGAGACGGGGCCCCGGCGTGCGGAGCAGGGCTGGGCAGGGATGAGCCTCCAGCCCGCACACACAGCAGCTTCTGGGGAGGACGTGGGGACCAAGCGGCTGCCTGAAAGAGCCATGGTGGGACACTGGGCTGCACGGGAGCAGCCACGGCCAGAGGGATGCGATGCCATCAGCAATGACCCCCCTGCACTGGGATATCGGGATTATAGGAGTCCCTTTCTCTCCGTTGCTTTTTAACCCAGTGGCAAAGGGCAATAGATTTCAGGGAAGGCAGGCGCCGGGGAGCCTTACCCGATGATGTACGCCAGGACGATGAGCTGGATCAGCCGGAAGGTCAGTCCCACCTTCTTGTTCCTCACCAGCACCATCCGAGGGGTGTCATACTCGAAGAGGAAGGAGGACACCTTGTCCATGCACTTCTGCCCCATGGCTGCGCCAGGGCTGTGCCGCAGCCTCCCGGCAGCCCCGCTGTTTGCCGTGTGGGCTGTGCCCACCGCTGGCCCAGCAGCTCCTCTGTTTGCACAGCGGAGAAAAAACACCAAAATAAGAGTGCTATCGGCGTGGCTCCGGGCTCATCTGGGCTGGCGGGTTTCCTCCTCTGTGCAGGGATGGGGCTTCCTCTTCCTATAAGCTCTGGGCTGGGAGCAGCGGGTGCCCTACATGGTCCGGGGGTGGGACAGGGTGCGGGAGGGTGCAGGGCCACCCCGCTGCCGAGCCCACGTGCCAGCAGGATGAAGCTGTCTGCCTGCGGGGGATGCACCCTCGCCCAGGCAGGGCCTTCCCTGGGGATGGAGGGATGAGCACGAGGCATTCCTGGGAGCAAGAGTGGGATGGAGGTGGTGGGGGTCCTGGGAGAGGATTTTAGGAACTGGGATGGGGGTATCACCTTTTCTACCCCAGCAGCCACCTCAGGCTGTGGGTCTCCCATTAGTGTCCCAAACCCATGTCCTACTCTGTCTGCTCCAGAAAAAGGTCATGAAAGAGGGGGGGGGGCACAGAAACCCCAGCCCAGCAATTCAGAGCCAACCCACGGGCAGACGGGTGCCCAGCTTGGCCCCCTCCCATGGTGAGACTGAACAGCTGGGGCTTGGCTGGTTCCCAGCACTTGGGCTGGGTGCATTTTGAAGCATTTTCAGCATTCCCAGCATTTCCTGAAAGGCCCGGCCATGAGCAGGGCCAGGAGAGCCAGGATCACAGTGAGGGATGCTCAGCAGGCACCACTTTAAGCAAATATCACTGAGAAAGAGAGTGGATTTGAACATGTCAGACTGAAATCTGGGGTCCAACATCAGCACAGTGGGAAGTTAGGGGGAGGGAGGGAGCACAGAGGCTGTGGATGAGGTACCCTGTGTCCCCATTGCATCCCTCTAGGCAGCACCAGGGCACAGCCCCACAGGGGGATCTTTGCTGGGGAGGGGAATACGAAGACTGAGCAGGGTTGTTTTGGGAGAAACAGAGGATTTTTTTCCCCCAAAATCCCAGAGCCCAGCCACTTCAGCACTCCCTGCAAGGACAGGCTCCATCCCATGAGCCCCAATTCATCTCTGCCTCCCGTGACCTTGAAGGAGTCGCTGGCTCTCTGCAGCCACGAGCCTGGGACAAGGGCCCTCCCTGCAGGAGGAAATGGAAATATGGAAAAGCTTAACCTGCTGGGATAAATCTTTCCTTTCTGGAACATTTCTCTCAGCATCACCACCTCTCAAGTTCAACTGCCCTTCACTTGCTGCCACGTTGACCTTTCGACTCAATATATTGCAGACCTGACAACCACAAAGTGAGCGGAACAAATCGATTACCTTTGCTGGCCAATAGAGAAAACTGGGGGGAAAAGCAGCTGAACCAGTTATCCAAATCTTTTGGGCATACCATGAAGCATGGGAATCAAAATCAGATGATCCCACGTTGCGAGTGACGTGATGCCGTCCCAACGCCCCAGCCCTCAGCAACGTGGAAAGCTGTCAGACAGGGAGCCAAAAGCAAATACGAAATGCTGATGCTAATCACACAAGATTGAAGGCTGATACTGCTATTGAGTGGAGCAGACAAACCTTATAAGCTTAGATATCTGTCAGGAGAGAAGCAAATAACTTACTGTATGAAACGAGGCCTTTTAGGGAAGGCTGCTCACCCTTGCCAAAGCCATGGGGATAATGAAAATAGGACAGCTAAATTTAACAGCAAAATGACTTGTAAAAGAGCCACTTCTAACCTCCTCGCTGGTACTTGGAGTCAATAAAATGGTTAGAGCATGGATTTAGCTAAAATACTTTCCATTGGGAGACATTATGCATCTCCCATTTTATAATCTCTTGGAGCCATGTTGCAGCTGGTGGGTGGGGCAGGACCCTGTGGATGTGTCCAGAGCGATGTTGGGAGCATGGAACCCCACCATGGGAGCACCCACAGGGCCTGGGTCTCCTTCTGGGCTGATAACAGCACCCAGCACAGACACCCTCTCTGGCCACAGCACCCAAATGTTTGAAAAAAAGCCACAGCCTAAACCCTCGTGGGCTTGCATGTCACCATTGCTCATGCCCACACCATCCCTGGCACTGCCACTCTTGAAATTACTTTATAACAGGGAATTCAGTAGGTTTGGGCTGGTACTGCTTATCTACATGGCCCTGCAAAGGTGTCTTGGTGGTGCCAGGTGGCTGGTGTGCCAGCTAACACACCTCCCTGCCTCTGCCAGGTGGTTATTGAGGGACAGTGCCCTGCTGGGGCTGTTCAGCTGTTAAATTACCTGCCCAGCATGGCACTCACCAGCCTGGAGATGCTGAGGGCACAGGGCTGTGATGCTTTTGGGTGTGGTGCAGGCACTGGTGGTGCAGGGCTTGTTTTCTGTTGGTTGTGACAATAAATATATTCCTGCAACACCTAAACGAAAAATAAAAACAGAATTAGTGGAAAGAGGTTTTGATCAGCCTCCTGTGTAAAGGGCAGCTCATGGGGGGTCCCCTGACCCACTGCACTGACACTCATGCAGCAGGGACCTCGGGGCTGGCTTTATCTGGGGCTCCCACAGACACAAACTCATGTGATGGTGTCAGTGCACACCACATTCATTTCCTCTAAATAAACTTCTGTATCTCTTGGCCACTTCCAAGCAGAGCGGGCGGGAGGCCCCGGGGCTGCTCTGCCTGGAGTGATGAGGTGCAAAGACTCTGGATGCTGCTGGAGGATACAGCAGGTCCTGGGCACTGAGGATGGGTTTTCCCTGGGCCCAGTGCTGAGCTGGGCTTGACCTGAGCAGCATGAAAACAAGGGATCAAATGGGACAACACAGAGACACAGAGGGTAACACTGGAAGTGTTCAAGACCAGGTTGGATGGGGCTTTGAGCAACCTGGTCTAGTGAAGGTGTCCCTGCCCATGGTGGTTTTTAAGGTTCCTTCTACCCAAACCAGGTGATTCTGATTCTAAAACCAGGTAGAGATAAGGAAAATGAGCCCATCAAGCTCCATGGCCCACCAGAGGGGAATATAGAAGCAGAAACAGCAAATGAGGTCCTAAAATCTGTGTTTGTGTCCAGAGTTGCAAAGCCCCAGGACCAGATTGCCCAATTGCTCTCCTGGGTCAGCTGGCATTGACTAATCCCCAGCACCAGTCTTGGCCTCATCCAGCATCTCCAGTCCCAGCTGAACCAGATGCCAAGGGCATTGAGGGCTGGTGACCCTCTGAGGGTATCCCTGGCAGTTCTGCACAGGGTCAGCACAGGGCTCCATCCACAGCTGCCAAAGCAACTCCTTCCCCCTGCCCATTAAAGAGGCTCAGCCTGCAAAAAACTGGTGTTTTTAAGGGAGACATTTGGAAATGTGAGTGCATCTTTGCTTTGAGCTGGGACATGGACACAGAGCATGGAGGAGCTGCTGGAGCACAAAGAGGGTGCTCTGAAAGCCTCTTCATGGGGATCAACCCCACCCACACCCACAAAAACAAAACTGTGGAAGGCATAAAAGCTGACAGGTCTTTCCAGGCTCTCAGACATAGCTTTTCCAAAAACTTATTGGGGAGAGGAGGGGGGAGGAAACCCAAAAATAAGAGATGAAGCTCATTACACAACCCGGACTCATGCTTGGCAGAGTCCAGCACGGAGCTCTGAATTTCAGCACAAAAATGTGCAGCACGCTCAGATCTGTGGATGGGGAGGAGTAACACAGAGGCAAGGAGATGTAAAATATGACAGCGGGTGCAAAGGGGACCTTGCTGTGGTTGAGGCTGCCAAGAAGAGCCCCTGAGAGCCGATGGCTCTTCCCAACAATTTTGGCTGGCACAGACCCCCTTGCCCTCACCAGCCACGGGAGATGGTGACACTGCCCTGCTGGCAATGGGAAGGGGAGGGTGGAAAAAAAATTGGCAAATAATGAGAGCAAGCAAGGTCCTGCAAAACAGCATGTTCAGTTTTCTTTCCAATTTTAACTTGTCCTTGACCCTTCTTCGCTCCTTCCCAGCAGGGCTGGCTCCGCTCCGTGCTTGTCCCGTGCTGTGACGCCCCGGCACAGGGAGATGTTTTTGGAGGTGCTCACCCCTCAGAAGTGGCATTTCCACCCCCATTTGCTGTGACAACTGGAAATATTTCAGTGGTGGTTTAGCCAATGCCAAAGCAAACATGAAGCCGAGATGCTGGGGGAAAAGGGTGTCAGTGGCCCTGTGGCCACTGAAAGTGTGGATGCACATCCCATGGGACAGCTGGACAGCTGCCATGGGGTACAGGGACCCCTGGTTTGGTTTTTTTGGGAGGGTAATCCCTGTTTTCTGAATCATGGCTCCAAAAGACAAGCATAGCCCCAGTGGTGATGGTCCCCAGGGGTGTAGGGACCAATACAACATCAAGTGGGGAATTTGGGGTGGTTTTGCCTCCACCACCATGTCCTGAGACAGCACTGCACCCTCAGGGGTGGCTGGTCTGGGGGACCATTGAGGGTCACCTCCAGCCATGGCAGGGGTGGTCCTCATGCTCTGACACTGGAAAGAACACGGTCTACATCTGGAAAGAGGAGCCCAAGCAACGGCCCCTTTCCCAAAACCAGCATTTGCCAGGGTATCCCATGTGCCTCTTTGTGACCCACCGTGGGTCACAGAGCTTTTGGCTTTCCCTGTGCAGCACCTTTCTCCTGCTCATAGCACTGGGAAGGGGCACACGGGGCCACATCCCAGCAAAACCACACCAAGGGCAGACGTTGCCATGAACACAGATTTGCTCCAAAACAGGATCCACGGCTGCATCAGGATTTTCCACTCTAAACATCACCGTGGGCAGAGCTCCGGGTGATGCGGAGATGGGAACGCACGGCCCCAGGCCCTGTGGCATCCTCCCAGAGGAGGCCAAGTTACTTAATTACCGTTTATTTCATAATTATTTCTTGTGGAGGTCATTGCAGGGCTTATTTAATCCTCCCCTCTCAGCTGGGGGTGATAAGGTGATGACTATTCTGGACGCAGTCAAAATTAGCACTGTTATTTGTATTCTTGTGCCCCAAGAGCAAATTAAAAAATTCCCAACAGTCACATCATGCCACTCTGTTCATTTTGCCTTTGTTATCCCATGCCAGGCACAAGCTCAGCTCCATTTCTAGTTTGGCTCCTCTGAAAACCCACAAGAAATCCTGATCTGGTGAGCACAACTCCTTTTACGGATGAAAAATGCCCTCAGGCACTCCCATACAGCTCCATGGGCTCCCAAATGTCCCCCGAATTAGCCACAAACTGGACAAGAAAAGCAAAAAAAAAAAAAAAAAAAAGGTAAAAAAACCCCAACAACAACAGCAACTAGACAAAAAACCCAAGAGTCATCCAGTAAAATCGCTTTTATTTCTGTAATTTTCTAAGTATATCACAAATCAGCGTCAAGTATTGTGGTGAACACGAGTGGAGTTCTGTAATGATGTGACACGAGAGCCTTCCCAGTCTTCCGGCACATCCCTGGCTATTTAGCAGTCCAGACAAAGGACAGACGATCTAGGAAATAGCGGTCAATTTGTGGAAAAATATCTCTCAAATATAATAATAATAGGAAACCTCATTTCTTTCAGTTCTGTCCCTCAGTTAACACCCTCCCACCCACCCCCAAATTATAATGATTTATCTTTTGCTACAGAGCAGGAACTCAGAGATTTCTAGATTTGGCTGTTCAGGCATCTCATATAAAAAATAATCAACATATTCCCAGACCCAAGCCACTGAGGGCACCCCCTGGCAGCTCAGTGGTCACCCTCCTCTTGGTCCCAAGTGCCTGGACTGACCCGCCCCCTGAGGTACCCACAGCCCCATCACTCCAGGCACACACAGATTTTGGCTCATTTAATGCCCCACCCAGACCAAAAGCTGAATGGCACCACAAGGAAAGGTCCAGGGAGCACAATTCACCCTGTGTTTCCCTTTCCTCACTGCAGCCCTGCAAACCCTAACCCTAACCTTGCCATGCAAGCTCTGCATGGGGTGAAGCCTTCTCCTTGGTCCCAAAAACCTGAGTCCACACTGTTGCCCCTGACAGAAAATGCCACTGCAGAACTGGGGGAAAAAACCAACTCAGGTGGGCCTGAATCTCTGGCATCATTTACAGAAGGTGGTGGCCATGGCAGGTATGGTCCAAAAATCACAATAAGTCTTAGGAGTTGGGTTTGGGGACTCTGGTGTGTTTGAGGTTCAGGAGTGACGTGATGCCAAGGTCACAACCTCATGAACATCTCCCAGCCTGAGCCCCTGCACAGCAATTATTTGAGGAGTTTTTGGTGGAGCAGGACCCTGTCTGGGGAGCAGCACTATCAACCTGATGTACAAAAGAAGAAACAAAAATTAATGCTGAATTTTCCTATTGCTCCTCCAGCTACTTCTACCATCCACACCGTGAGCAGAAACTCCGGTTCCATCCCAGGTTTGATGTTTTTACAGGAACAAAGTCCCCTCCAGTAGAGCCTGTCCCTCCAGCTGACCTCTCCAGAGCCTGGTGGTACCATCCAGCCTTGGCATCAGAAACACACACACACAGTATCTTCCCAATGCCAAAGCCTCAAACACACAAATCCCAAACCTCATCCACGCCCTGAGCCCTACGGCGGCCACACAACACAAATAAAACACAGGATGCACTACTTTGCTCTTTTTCCTTTTCCAACCTGCCTCCCCACGGGATCACACACCACAGGGGGAAGAGCTCACCCAGCAACTGCCCACAATGACACAACATCCCAAAACAGTACAAAAGACTTTCCACAGCTGCTGCCCAAAGCTGATCCGCTGGGTGTTTGCCCCGGGGAGATGGGACCCTCCCCACCCACCTTGGCTGTACCCCAGCACGGTGCTTGGCCCCTGAGGAAGGAGTATAAAGTGCTCATGGATAATCCCATGCTGCCACCCCAGCACATCCTATGCCCTGCACCTTGTGGAGGATCTGCCACAGCAGCCCACCGATGTTAAAGGTCCTGCTGGAAAGACCTAAGTTTTATTTAAAGCCTTCGAATATGCCAGGCAGCACCATCAAAATAAAACTAAAAAGGAAATCATTCCTAAACTCTGTTGCCAAAAAAAGCAAGGAGCCCAGAGGTTTGCCTCCAAGCTGCTTTTTTTAACAAAGTCCTGGGCAAAGCAGCCACCCAGAGCCCATCTCCCTTGTATTGCACGTTTAGATGCCTTGGTAAGACCCAAGACCTGATCCCAAAGTGATGGTCTTGGCTTTAGGATCTCCATGTTTCCACAAGAACATGGTCCAGCCCAGCAGGCTGTTGGTGGCACACATGCAATAAATAACTACTCTGTGATTTGTCCTGACCCTTCACTGAAGAATAAAAGAAAAAATAATTACATCTCTGGATATTTTTCTACATCGTTAAGATATTTGAAGTATAAGCCTCTGTAATCAAAGAGAATAGAGTGGAACCTGTATTCCAAGTAATTAAAGTATGGGGGGAAGAGAGATGTGTTCAGCCACTCAGAAAGGGAAATGATGTGACAAAATGGTCCCTCCTAGCAAGGGGGACTCCTGCAGGTTACCTGTGCTATTTTCTAGGTAGATCTGAAGGCTCACAATAGAAACCAAACTGAATTTGTTGCTGCTGGACAGAACAAGCCTTTGGCTGGGACCCAGCTCTGGTTTGTTGCCCACAAAGGCTCAGGGTTTGGTGACTCACAACTGCGACCCAACGACTGCATGAACAGACTGACCCTGCCCAGGCTTTTACACCAGGAACTCCTCCACACACACACACATACACAAATTTGGATAAAATTAATAATCCCCAGTGCACCTCAAGTCCAGGGAAAACACTGTTAACTCAGGAGGTGCAATGGATGGGCCAAGCAGGTTCCTGCAGGCACAGTGTCCCAGGGAGATGCCATCGGGCAGCTGAAAGCTTTGCTGGGCCCTCCCAATAGGGCTGGGATGCTCTGAATCCAGTCTGGCCTCTGAATCCAGACCAGACTCTCCCAAACTGGTTTTCAGCCTCAGGGAAACACAGAAGCTGTTTCCTCTGATGTCCTCCAGCTGGTACTGGATTAAATTCCCACTGGTTATTTTTCTGCACAGAGAGATGGAACTGGACTCAGTCATCTTGGACAACTTTTCCAACCTAAACAATTCTATTGTGTACTAAAATAAGGTGAAATCCACCCTTTTGGGGAAAGGCAAATCACACGTCTACAGCATTAGTCTTACTGAAGCCTTATCTTGAAGGCTTGAGCAGTACCTGGGTCATACCCTGGTCCTCTGCACCAGGGTGAACCTCATCCACGGGGAAAATCTTTGAAGAGGAACTGGTTGTCCCATGGGATCAACTAATTAAATCAATTAGACAGAACACATTTGAAAAATAAAACTTCTTCAAGACAAAGTATAATAAGATTTAAAAAAAAAAAATCAGCAACAATCTTCTAACCACAGAGTATCTATAAAGATCTTTTTAAAGAGCTCCATATTAAAATTCCTTGAATACATTATATATTAAATACAGTAACAACATTTCATGCAAGGTTTTCTGTACAATAAATCAGCTCAGTAGTATAACAATTCTGTACATTCCCATTGGTCTGGGGGCTCTGCTCATCTTCAATGCTGGTGATGGAGAAAAGAAAGGAGGGATGATATTTGGCACCTACTGTACAGAAGAAGAGTAGCTCTTGCCCAGGTGAAACAGAAAAGCACTGGAAGCTTTTAAGAGGCAAAAAGTAGAAGAAAAAACCCAACAGCGAAGGAGCAAAATGCTACCCCAAACCCTGGCTCTAGTGCTGCTGCTGGAATGTAAGAGAAAGGAAAGGCTCTGGCTAGTTAAATATTATCAGGATGGATCATAGGGGACCATGAGGAAAACAGGAGGGAGGATTTGGAGAGCAGGAGAAGAAACCACCCACTCTCAGCTTCTCAGCTGATGTGGTTTGATGGAGACAGATCAATTCACTGGATCCCAAACCCACTCCTGATCTACCAACCCTCACTGCAGCCTGTCTTGCTCCTGCTGCAGAAAAATCCCAAGAGGGCAAAATAGACTTGGTGCCTTACAAAAAGGGATGCCACAACAAACACCACCCACGGAGAAAGACCACGTTATGTACAAGCATACATTCATTCCCATCTTGATCCCTTGGCAAGGATGCCCTGTGCAAGACAGTGATGTTCTCCAAAGCAGAGGACACGAAGCCATGGACATGCTCCTGAAGACTTAAGCTCTACTCCTGCTAGGGAAGTAGTTAAAAATCCACTGAGGGATGAAAGTGTGACCAGGAGGGAGTGGTGGACATGAGGAATGCAAAGGTGGGTGTCTGCTTTGCTTTACATGTCTGCCCCTACGAGGAGGAGGGTGGTTCATATAGTGCAGATGGGATGTGAGAAGGTGGGGGATGGAGAAGGACAGACAAGGCTACGTCATGCTTTGGTGTTGGATGAGCCTGAGAAGGTGCTGGGCTTTCCACAACGCAGGGATCAAACAGGACAGCACGATAAATAGGGAGAACTTTGCCTTCCACCACAGGCACCTGATCTCAATGTACAAACACACATCTGTGAGACCCACACCACTGTTGGGCACACTCTGAAGGTATTCCCAGATGCTGTGGCCACCAGAGTGGCCAGTAGAGCAGCAGTGATGAAATCATCAAGGGTCAGAGACCCCAACACACGACCCCCTCACCTCTCTCCCTGCCCTCACCCACTGCCAAGCCCTTTCTGGCCCCAGAAGCTGCCCTCGTTCGCCCCATCCCCTTGGGGGATGCAGCCTCCCATCTGTGCCCAAAACCCCGACTGCCCCCCTTCGTGGAGGATGCCCTGCCTGAGCTCACCCGGCGAGGGCGAAAATTGGAAAGAGGATCTCAAATTTGGCAGGAACAAATCCCCAAGGAACCGCGCTGCAACGACCCAGGTCCACACAGCTCCATCCCCAAACCCAACGCCAGCTGTCCAGTAATTGCACTCGTATGTACAGGAAAAAGAAAGCTACGAAACAAAACAAAAATCAGTATTTTTCTTTTCGACGATTCACCCGCATTTGTCTGATAGTCGGACACATGCATGTCCTGCTGGCTTCTAGTGATGGTCACACATGCAAGACTTCAGTCCGAGTTACAAGTTAGGGATCCTTCAGTTCAGAGTGTTGCCTTTGTGTCATTCATTTCTTGTCCTCTTCTCCTGAAAGAGAGAGAAGGAAAAGTATTGGTGAGGGTTCAAAGCAAACCAGCTCCCTGTTTTTGTTATCAAGAGTGGCTGCTCTTGGTTGATCCCAAAAGGGGACCTGGGATCCTGTCTGCACAGAGCTGGTCCTACTGCAGCCACGGAAGCTCAGGCTGAGTCAGGAGGAGGAGGATGCTGGTCCCTGGGTGAGGAAGGGCTCGGCACACTCAGCCTGCAGGAGGCAGGAAAAGGGGTGAGGTGGAGCCATACAGGCACAAGAATGGTGGGAAGATGAGCAGGCAGGATGCCTTGCTACTGCTCCTAATGAGGGATCACCCTGGAAAGGCAGTGACTCAGAGAGAAAGGAAAATCACTGCATCCCATCAGCCGTCCCTGCCACAGCCAGATCTGTGGATGCTGCTCCTTGGGCTGACACCACTTACACACAATACATATATATTTACCTCCAGAACAATGAGCAAGGACCAATCTACTCATCACAGCTACTGTTCCAGCCCCGGGGCTGCCCTCCTCCCTTCTCCCTCCCTCCAGATGGATGGGCTAGGACAGGGAAGGTAACAGGCAACACATGGCCTGAAGGAAAGCTACAGTATTCAGCTTGAACTCCATGTGAGCAGCCTCAAAATCTCTGCCAGAGCTTGACTTGCATTAACCAGATCCTCAATTTTCAAGCAGTTGACAGGAGTGTCCCTGACCCCCTGAGGCAGCAGCTGCCCTCCAGCCCGGGGCAGCTCACTCTGCCCAGAAACAGGTTTTATTTCTTAAAAAAAACCACCCACAAGCAGCACTTGCTAAGAAATCACTTATCGGGAATCTTTCAGCTGCATTTCTCTCTCTTTCATCACTGCACATATCACCAAACACATCTCACAGGGGACTGCTGTTACTGTGCTCTTGATAAATAGGGGTCCTGCCCGGGGTTACCCGCGAGCTCCGCGCCCGCTGCCAACCCTGGTGCCGACAAGCTTCCAGGGGAATTAATAAATAACAGGGGAGAGAGAGAGGGAAAAAGCCTTTTTGCAACTTCTGCCAAAACTTTTTGCAGTGCTGGCTGGAGAGCCCAGCCCAGCTGTCCCAAGATAAAATGGCTTGTTGCAATGGCAGCATCCCCCCAGATAACCCCCACACCTCCAGATAACCCCCACACCGTGGGCTTTGGTGCACAGTGGGGATGCTGGTGACTGCACTGTATTAAATCTCAGAGCAATAATCAAAATTCATCTCCTCCCCATTTAAGGGGTGTCCCTTCAGCATCTCCAGCAGTTGAACAGTCCCTACCAGGTGACACACCAGTGGTTATTCACCAGCCATGGCACTTCCCCTAAACACACTGCCCTGTGGTTGTGCAAACAGGGAGGAAGCCATGGCATGGGGCAGACAGGCACAGGGAAGGGACATGGCTGCAGTGTTTGCTCTTCAAAATGCTACTCTCAGGCCTCTAAATAACCCAATCCTGGCACAGTCAGGTGTTTCCATGAGCCCTGCAACAGCCGAGGGTCTGGCTCTCACTCAGCTTTAGGAGGATGCAGGTCCTGCATGCCAGTGTCTTCTGTCCTCCCCTCACACTGCTGACAGGAACAGGGGTAATGCAGGACCTGTTTGCAGGAATGATGAATGACGGAGCAGTGATGATCCATCTGGATCTTGCCTCACACCAAACCTCCCAGGGGGAGTCACAGCCCTTCAGCACCTGCAAACCAGCAGCTGAACAACACGAGCTCAGCTTCTGCAAGATCTGCTCCCCCCAGCACAGCCGAGGCTTTTGAGGAGGTTTTTCCTTATTGCTTTTGACTTTCCTCTTAACAAGTTCCTGTAAAAGGTGCTGCTGGAGGGATGCAGACTCCAGCTGCCAGCCTGGATCACTTCCTCCATCAAAGGAAACACCACAGCCCTTGTAGCTCTGAAAACTGCACGTCTCATCCATCACACCAGGGCACCCCAAGCTTCATCCAAGAGCCCAAACCCCAGGAGAAAACCAAAAAGGAAATCCTTTTCCCATCCCAGGGCAGCAGTGCTGTCAGCTTCCCTCTGCTCTTCCATTTTTAAAGCATGACACACCGACATAATAAAACAGGAGAGAGGGGGAAATAAAACCAAAGAGCAATGCAGCAGAGCTGGAAAATCCCGTGTGGAGATTCCAGCACTGAAAGGTGCAGCACTGCTCTCCTGCAGAGCATCCCACAGCTCAAGGGAGCGACTTGGCCCCTGGGGACACATTCCTCTGCCAGCGCCCAGCCAAGGTAGCTCCACACAGAGATTACCCTACAAGGGCAGGCCACGGCTGCAGGCGCTCCTTCCCCGCTCTGCCGTGCCAGGGAGAGGGATACTGCCTCCTCCGCAGGGAACACGGGCAGGCAGCAGCCCCTCTGCTCCTGGGGGAGTGCTGGGGGGTTCCCTCAGCCCCAGGTGCACAGAGGAAGATGAGAGTGAACAGCTCTATTTCACTACTGCTGGTGGGTTTTGCGATGGGACAAGGAGGTTTTGGTCCCTGTAGGGAGTGTGATGCACTTGTCACCACACTGCCACTTCTGCCAGCCACTCTCCTCTGGGAGGATGCTGAAGCAGAAAGGTGATGCCAGCTTGGCAGAGAAGTGGCCAAAGCTCCCATGGCAATGGAGATGCTCACCCAAGGGTGCAAATCCCACCTGCACTTCAGCTGCGGCAGCAGGAGGCTGTGGGGCACTGTGCTGCCCACCAGGGAGGGAACAGAGACCCAAGCAGGGCAGTCATCACTTGCAGCTCCTGTAAAATCACCCCAGGGGCTCCTGTGCTCGCTGGGTGCAAGGACAAATGGGTGCATAAATGCCAATCTGCCACAAAACACACCCAAGTCAATTCCTGTGCATCAAACCTCCTGATTTTCAGTGATGCTGCTGCTGTCAGGGCAGGTGTGTAGTTGTGTTGCAGAAAGCACCTGCTTCATGATTTGCCCCTGCTTTTGCCACAGCACAAGTGAGAAATGGTGATGCTCGAGCACCCAGGCAGGGCCTGCTGCTTAACATGCTGAAAACAACCACAGTGGCAACTCCACCAGCTCTGATGGGTTTGCTTCAAGATGCTGAAGATGAGGAGGCCCAGGGACGGTGCAGGAGGGGAGCAGGGTGGCCTCAGCAGTGGGGTGAGGGTGCACAGAGCTACATGAGCACCAGGGTTATCTCAGTGTCCTCTCTAGGTCTGATACCTTTTGAGAACCGCTCAGAAAAGGGACTTCTGCAAGGTCTTTGCACGGATGCCCAGAAACCATCCTCCTGCATGCCACAGGATTCAGAAAGAACAAACACTTCAGTGCATAGAGCATGGAAAATATTAAAGATACCAGAGCAAGAGGTACTTGAGGGTGGTCAGCCTGCCAGTGTGTATCTGTGTGACAGACCCTGAGAGGGCCCATCTCCACGTTCCTGACCAGAACATCTGCAGCTCCCACCAAGCCAACCCAGCTCAGCTCTGCACATTCACTTGCTCTCACACTCACATTGCCTCTCAGAACTGAGACAGCAGAAACCTCAGAGGGGGCCAGGAGGGGAAGAAGGCAGCCAGAAGCCAGACATGCACAGTATGTGAGATGAAAGGTTGGACATGTCCAGGATGATGGGGAGAGGAATGTAAAGCACTGAGACCACTGTGAAAACTGAAGAGTCTCAGCTTTTGGCCACTTCAAGGACAAGGAAAATCCAGCGTAATGGAAACACAACAACTTATCTAAATCTCATCAAAAGGAGAAACTTTTCCACGCAAAACCTGAATCAGCAGAATATACATTCTGCTCACAGCTATACATTTGCATTCCTCAGCTGAACACCCTTGGCCATCCCTCAGAAGGTCCCACGCTGGAGACCATCCCCAAGTGCTGCCTTGCAGAGATCAAGCCTGGCCTCTGGCCAAAACTGCCATCAAACAGCTACTTCACAAGCTTTTTAGACCTTATTTTGAAGCAAAACACAGAGGCCACTGTGGGAAAGGAGATCCTGTCTGGGTACAGGGTCCCTGGGCTCTGGTATTGGCTAGTTTTCTAAGCCACGTTCACCCAGACACATTCCAAGCAGGTCCCCACCACACACGAGCAAGATTTTGTAGGAAGCACAGGGATACTGCATTCAGGGATGAGACATGTAGGAAGCCAACCCTTGCTCTGGAGTCTTGCAGGTTTTCAACTGGTGCTCCCCGCTCCACTCGGGTCTTACTGTCCTGAGAATGCCTGGTAAAAAAATCACAAGACCACACATAAAAGTGGCTTTTGGAGGTTTTTTTCCCCCCTCTGCTTTTCAAAGCCCAGAGGAATTAGGAAGACGAAGAATTTCAATTACTTCTTTCAAATCCGATGATTGAAGCGTGATTTTTGGCCCACAGCTGTGATTGAATAACTGTAGGGGAAGCCCTGGCTGGGTGAGACACAGAGCAACCCGTGAGCATCAGCAGCATCATGGCTGTGGGGATGAGGGCAGCTCAGAGGACCCGGCACGCTGGGAGGAAACACTGTGAGCTGGCAGGATGGCACCTGGAAGGATCACATGCCTACCAGGAACCTTGCTGTGCTCAGAGCTGCGCAGGCAGAGCCAAAGAAAAGCCCTTCCTCCAACACTGCTGAGACTTTAAGGAGAAATATGAAGTGTGGGAGAGAGACAGACTCATCCCCAGATCACAGATGGTGAAGTGAAGACCGAGGGCATGCATGGGATGCAAAACAGCCAGGAATCAACCAGCTCTCCTACACCCCAGCCCGGTGCCACGCCATGGATTGTTGCTACAGGCTTGTAATTGTGGGATAAAACAGACCTGGGTGTCTGGTGAGAGAAACAACAATTAAATAAAAATAAGCTAGAAACAACTTCTATCTGATCTGTAAAAACAGGAGCCCCTGCACCTCTGTTTTTCTGAGCAATCCCTGTGTTTATGCATCAGCTCAAGGCAGAAAGGAAGGCTGACATGAGCACCCCACCACACCAGGACCCACTGATGGGGAGGGCGGCCAGTTTGGGATGATTTCTTGCTTGCAATAATTTCCCATCCCATATTTCCAGCTTTTTGCAGGGTTCTGCTCCATGAGAAACCAAAGAGAGCTGTTACAAAGGCCCAGATCCCTCCCTGACAGGCCTGGTCAGACCTGCCTTCAGCCCTGAAAGGCAAGAGTGGCTTTGCAGAGTTTTCCTGGATCATTACTACAGGGTGAAGGTAAAAGGAGGGATTTGTTAGGACACAGGCTGCCTTAGGGGTGAAAAAAGGTTTGAGCAAGCTGATGCTGTGGAAGGACATTCAGTCCCCACACTCAGATTGTTCATCTGCCCCCAGAGCTTCCCCAGTCAAGGACAGTGTCTCTCCTGCCCTTCTTCTCCCTGCTATCACTGTCAGGGCAAGCACACCCCAAAAACTGTTTTCCTGGACAGGGGACAGCCCACGGCAGGCACAGCACCACCAGGCAGCCCTGGGCCCGCAGCCACCGCTGGGAAAACCTGTGGGTTTAACTCAGCCCCGAGATATCCCCCACAGCAAGTGAGGTTTTTTTCAAGAAATGAAAGGAAAGATGATATCATCTCTTTGGAGGGCTGCCTAAATCCTGCTGTGATTTACAGCACAGAGCCCAGGAGCACACGGGGAATCTCTGCCCCGGTGTCACGGGAGCTGCTTCTCCTCTGTGTGTGCCATGGGCCAGATCCTGAGAGGTGCTGGCCAAGGGCAACCCCATTAAAACCACTTTATAAGGTGTTCAGCTCTCAGCTGATCTTAGCACAGAGGCAGCCAAGACAAGGCAAGGATGGACAGAGAGGGGTGGACAACTTGAGAGAAAAAAGGAAGGGATCCTGTTAGAAACCAGTATTTGATTTGTTTTACTTTATAAGTGAAGGGATCCAGTTCCTGGAGGTTTGAGAGGAGCTGGATAAACAGTCCTTGGCAGGTTTACCCGGTGCTCCAGCTCCAAAGGGAGCATTTCAAGCAGGTGTAAGCACCAACTGCTCTGCCAGGCGTGGCACCAGGAAGGAAGGGAGTAGGAAGAGAAGCCCCTTTTCCAGAGCAGGGTGGACACGCAGGTGCAGACATCACACGAGCAGAGGAGATGAGTGAGGTGTCCCCAGAGCCACCACGACCCCTGAGCAAAGCACCACAGAGCAAACCCAGCCCAGGGTGGTGCAGCCCACGCTCACCGTCCAGGTGGTTGCGGGAAAGGTACTTGAGTCCTTCATCCAGCAGGATCACGGGCAGGGAGATCTTCAGCACGACCACCCACTGCGGCCAGCTCAGGGGGGTCACCTGGAAGATGAGCTGCGAGGTGGAAAGGATTGGACACGTCAGCAGGGAAGGAGGTGGGATATTTTGTTGTTTTAAGGGTCACGTTGTTGTAGGGCAAAGGGTCGTCCCAGGCACAAGGAGGGAGGATCCTGACAGCCCAAAGAACAGGATTTCAAGGTCTGTCATGATCCCAACAGGGCTCTTGGACAAGATGAGTCAAAGATTATGTCCTTCACCTCTCCTGCAGCTGGGGAAAGTGAGGCACAAGCTGGGACTGTGTGTTTGTGTGCTCACAGGTGCTCAGCAGGGTAAAAGGGACAATGTCACCTCCTGGGCACAGAGACACACTTCACCTTTAGCACCCTTGGGCACTGACTGAGGCATCACCAGCCTCGAACTGCAAAGGGAGGAGATGACACCACAAGGGGCTGAACCACCTTCTGGAGATACCTACACCCCTTTGCACTGCCCATAAGGAGAGCTTCTGACTTAGGCAAAGGCAGGGTGACTCCTGGTTTGCAAGTCACAGGACCTGGACCTGAGGGCACCTTTTAGGGACAACCATCCCAAAAGCTTCCAGACCCAAAGACTGCTCCAGGGATGTCCCTCCCCACAGGAGCCCCCTGGGCTGGGGGCAGAGGTGGCAGAGGTCACTCACAGGCATGGGCTTGACATAGAGGATGAGGAAGTGCAGAGCCATGGACATGATGATGGCCCCCAGCAGCCAGATGTTGAGCCACGGTGGCATCCGCAGCAGCGACTGGTTCTCAGAGACACTGGAAGGCAAAGGGACAGCGTCAGCCCCAGCAACCTCCTGCTCCCCACACCTGCCCAAGCTGGGAGCTCCATTACCCCCCCAAGGTGCAGGGTCACATGCTGCATCCCTGTATTCCAGACTGCTCGGCTTCAGGCTTTGCTGCAAATCCCATCTGAATGCTCAACACAACCAGCCTTCATGGATTAGGACTGATCACTAATGACCAAACCACTAATGGATGTGGATCCAGTCCTTCCTCCACTGCTGTCAGCAGCAGCACACTGCCTTGGAGGAGTTTGATCATGGAAAACCCAGTGGTGCCCTGTGAGGATGCTCTGAATGGCTCTGCTGAGCCAAAGCAAAGCCCTCAGCCCACCCACAGATGCTCAAAGAGACCCTGCACAGACTCAGTCAGGCACAGAGCAATCCTGCAGCCACCTCACCTGTTCAGAGCGTTGCACATTTCGATTGTCACCAGCACGGACAGAGCCATCGTGGTTGGGTATCGGGACTCGAAGATCTCACAGTCGATTCCTTCAAAGATGGGGTTGTCCTCAGTGCACCTCATGAAGTTCCTCTGTCGGCACAGGAAACTGCTGGTAAATACACGGCAGAGCAGCAGGAAAGGCGGGAGAGAGGAGGAAGAGTCGACTGGTTGGGGGGCACAGGATGAACTGGGTTGCTGTTAAATATCCCACAGTTCAGGGCAACTGAGCAAACTGTCTAAAGTGACCCAGCTCCTGCTGTGATTGGGCTTTAGGGTTATGGCCAGAGAGTGGCTTTGAGACTTCCAAGTGCAGTCAAGAAGGTGTTTGAGCACACACATCTCCATCAAAAATACATTTTCCATGGCACGTGCCATTGGGCTGGGATGGCACCCACCTTCCCACCACCCTGTTCAGACCTACAGTAATGTGACAAAAGATCCCTTTCCATGTGGGATCAGGCACAGGAGCTACTTTCAGCTTCTTTGAATCAAGTTTTCCCTACCATGCTGGTGACTGGCAGAAGCAAGGCTGGAAACATGAGCCTGAGGGAGAGAACTTGCTTCTGTTTTAAATTATTGCCTTCTCCACTAGGCATCTGGGAACACTATAACCACCACAGAGGAAAGGCAGAGGAAAACACCCCAACACTTGAATCCATGCCCTTCCCATCGGTCAACACGTCAGCCCGTCCCCCTCCCGACTCACCAGCTGATGGAAGGAGACCTGTGGTCCCTCGGCGTCGTACAGGAACCACCAGGTCGCTGCTCCCACCGTGGCCAGGCCCACGTACACTGCGGCCGAGAGAGACACCCTTACCCCCAGCACCCGAAAGGAACCCCCCTGCAACCCATGGCACCCCGTGCCCATCCTCAGCTCTGCCCACGGGACTCACCTCCGACGGCCAGGTAGCGGAAGAAGAGCCAGCCACTGATGAGGGGCTCCTTGGGGTTGCGGGGCTGCTTCTCCATGATGTCCAGGTCGGGGGGGTTGAAGCCCAGCGCGGTGGCCGGCAGCCCGTCCGTCACCAGGTTCACCCACAGCAGCTGCACAGGGATGAGGGCCTCGGGCAAGCCCAGGATGGCTGTCAGGAAGATGCTGTGGGGGAAAAGCAGAGATGCCAAATTATCTCTCTTTGCCAAACAAGTTCTGGGCAGCCAGAGAAAGGGTTTGTGTCGTGCAAGGGGAGAGTGAGCAGACACCCTGGATCCAAAACCCCAAACTGAAAATTCACCCGAAGTCCTGCAGGTGAACCTGCAGAGCCCCTGACCAGGAATCTGAAGTCTAGCACTGAATTCTGCAGCTAAAATTTGTTCCTGCTGCTATTAAAATTTGCTTTGCAGTTGAAACCCAACCACTGATGTCTCCATGGCCATGCAGGTTCCTGTTCCCAGCACAAACACCCTGCTGAAATGCAAAAGGGCAAAGGATGCCCAAATGATGCTCATGTTGCTGAGGATAGTGTTGATTTACTGGGAGGGATGGGTAGGGACAGGGGCAGGGAGAGCTGCCCAGGACCTGATGCAAAGGGCACCAGTGTGATCTGGTGTCAACAAATATCTGCATCTGTCTTAGGCATTGGCATAGGCTTAAATAGGCAATTAATTAACAAAACAGGTCATAGGGGATGGCAGGAATGTAAAATTATAAACCAAAAATCCCCCTGCCCCTGGGGAACAAGAGCAGGCACTGTTGCTCTGCTGGGTGGCTCGGGATGCCAATGTGGACACCACACGCTGCCAGGATCAAGGGGTACGGACAGGACTGCAGGTCACCTGCCCCAGGGGATGTGTCCCCCCCACACCGCTCCCCCCAACACGGTGCCCAGCGTGGGGGGCTCTCACCAAACGACCTCCCCGACGTTGGAGGAGATGAGATAGCGGATGAACTGCTTCATGTTGTTGTAGATGGCTCTGCCCTCCTCGACGGCCGACACGATGGTGGAGAAGTTGTCGTCGGAGAGCACCATCTCAGCAGCCGACTTGGCCACGGCCGTGCCCGACCCCATGGCGATGCCAATCTCCGC